AGCTAGACGACGCACGGGAGCTTCCAACGGGACGCGGACGCGCCAAATTCGATCGGAATCTCCAACTCTTGCCAGTATCCGCCTAATTATATTGCATGACGTAAACTGTCCGGCGGCTGATCGAATAAACGTTACAAAAAGCCGATCGATCCTTGCTGCTGACCTATTTTGCCGGGTACCGAGCAGCACGAGGGGACTCCCTTCGCGCGCAATTTACGATTCTCTCTTGTCTCTCCCTATCCATCTGCTTCCCCCCCCTCTCTCTCTCTCTCTCTCTCTCTCTCTCTTTGCTTGCGTCGTTAAGGTTCGAATAATTAATCGCTTGGCACGAGCCCGCTATTTATTTCCATAAAACGGAATTTCGCGATGGGGCCGCTGCGAGTAAACTAATTGAGATAAACTAATTGAGATAAAAACCAGAGGCTCACGAGCACGCGCGGAATCACATCGATCACGGGAGAAAGCGTCTACCCGGTATACAGGGGTCTCTCTCGCCCGTTTCTTCTCCTCCCGACCCGCCGAATCGCCGAAAACTCGAGTCTCGAATTTCAGACTTCAGCGCGCGAGCGACGGTACGGTATTACGATCAAATAACACGCGCGGCGGTATCGTCGAGTTAACACGCTGTTCGATTTTATTAATATAACGGACGTGTAAAAATTCACGTGTATTTGTATTTATCTCCGTGTAGCGCGCTTCCGCGGAGCCCTTTCAACGCGACCCAGTTTCACTTGCGCTACAATAGCTCGTGCGTCTGTGTGTACACGCTATATCTCGAAATATGTAGAAATAAATGAGAACATTCCGGGAAAGGTAGAGAGGAAGGAAGGAAGGAAGAAAGGAAGAGAGAGAGAGAGAGAGAGAGAGAGAGAGAGCTGCGGCTCGCTGCGAGCAGAAAAAGACGCGAGAATGGGAAAAATAATTGTAGCGAAAAAAGACTTTAATATCGCTTTAATATACCCGATGAGAGTCGGTATAATCTCGCGTAACGACGCGCGCAATTCGCTCCTCGCGCGCCCGGAAATTCAAAGACATCGATTTCTCGTCGAGATGTTTATTTCGCGCCGTTTCGTTCCGATTTATTTCCTTCTTTTTTTCGTTCTTTCACGTCGAGATCTTTATGTCGCGCTTAGGGGAGAACGAATCATGGAGGGAGTTGACACGCGTGAGAATCGCATGGACGCGCTTAATATGCCGAGAAATTAACGTGACAGTTGGCAAAGATACACGCGTTCTCGCAGTTAATCGTCCGATGAGGCAGGAAGTGACTTGTCGCTCGCTTAGCTCGCGCGAGGAGAGCACCCGACGCATAAATGAGTCGTAAATTTCCGTGCCCTGCTGGGCACGGCCGTTTACGTCGTAAGGGAAAATCCCGCTCCCATTTCCCGGCTAACGCGGCACAGCTTTGTGCGCGCGGGTGCTTTGGGCGATTTTACGACCGCACATCCCGTCGCGTTAGAATGGAAATTCTTTCCGGTGCGAGCGCGTCCCGCGGGTGCGCAAAATCGCGTTTCACCGGCTCGATCCTACTGTAGCTTCGAGCCCTTCTGAAACCTTAACGCGCTTCGGCCGCGCAGTTAGATAGATTCGTCGAGAATATTCCCGCCAACGGCGGTTGAGAAAGTGCGGGCGCACACAGAAGGATACGCGATACGTCGACGACGAAGAGAGGTATTCGACCTTCGTTTCAATCCCGACGACGAGCCTGATGCTCCAGGGATGCTCCACGGGATAACGTAGTCGAGAGCATTGTATGCACACGAAATGAACGATCTTACTCTCAAAATTTCCCGGAGCAAAGTCTCGCTGAAACCGAGCGGAAAATTGATTCCGAGCTGCAGCTCGACAACACCGCCGCTCGAAATCGCAGGAGCGATCGTTCCGCTCAGGCCCGGAATGGATTCTTCATCCGAGTGAACACGGCGAATATTTCAGTCGAGCGGAGCGGCGAATTTGTTCCTATATGAGACAGTGGAGATACAACAGATTCGCTGTTGAACTTCGAGTGGAAAGACTCACTCGACACATTCGGAACGAGGAATTCGCACTCTGCAAGAGTGAAAAGTCACTCGACCTCGAGTGACTCGGCTGACACTCTGCTTTTCCAAGTGAAATTTTAGTCGAAGAAACTTAGAATGTACGACACACACACACACACACACATACATACACTCAAGACAAAGACATAGATCAGCCTCTCGAACGAGCGCACCGATTCTCCCGTCGCGACGCCCCCCGACGTTGTAGATTTATGTCCATTTAATTTCTTCCTAAATCAATTCCTCCTTCGTCCAACAACGACACCTCTAGCTGCTTGTTTGTTTGACAATAGATCACCATCTCTTTTCTCTCTCTCTCTCTCTCTCTCTCTCTCTCTCTCTCTTCTGTCTTCTCTCTCTCTCTCTCTTCTCTTCTCTCTCTCTCTCTCTCTCTCTCTCTCTCTCTCTCTCTCTCTCTCTCTCTCTCGATTGCTTGAAGTCGCTTAATTCCGCCCTACCTACACTAGTCACCTCTTTGAGCATACAGCACCGATATGATTATGAACACGATATTAATAAGCACGACACCGTGGATACGTTATTTGCGCACAGAAGTTCACGACACAGCCGCTTGTACGAGTCGCGTGCCGACGATCGCGAGAAGCGAGAGAAAAGCCGCCCACGCTATTGGTGCACCGATTGGTATATTACGACGTACTGTTTGACTTCCATTGTTTTACATCTCGTTCTCTCACTCCCGCCGGGTGTTCCCCTGTTCCTCGCTCAGTCTCGACATTGTTTTTCGTGTTTCCGTGTGTGTTATCGTGACGTTATCGTACCTCGTTTGTACCCTCATCATGTCGTCCTCGTCATCGTCTTCGTCTTCGTCATCGCCGTAATCGTCGCCGTCGCCGTCGCCGTCGCCGTCGCCGAGAGAAAGATGAATTTCCGCACCGTCCCGTCGCTTTCGCAATACGCTTCCTGCAAGAGATCAGCGGGTTGAATCGTTGAATGTAGCACGGCTCGGCCGCGACAGTGTCGAGTTGATAGAGCTATTTTTGTAGACCGCAGAACGAACTAGATCCCCGAGGCGGGATGTCGTTAGATTAGCGCCCAAACATTGCACCCCTCGCACAATGGCGGACGCCGCCGAAGAGTCGCCGGCGTTCGAGCGTGTTGACATGACGATGCTTCGCACAATACACACTTCGACGCTTCCCCCATCAGCCCATCCCCCGATTATCGCGCCACGAGGATGCTTGGTTAGTCCATCATTGCCCCGAAGAATCGTTTCGATAAATCGTTCGAACGGAGCATGGCGCGTCGTATCGCGCGCGCGGAGCCAACAGAAAGAAGAAATTTCGCGTCGGTGATGTACGTTGTGGAAGATATTCGCCGCCATCAGGGGTAGGAAAAGCGCTGCCTCCCTCGCGATTCGCGATTCATCGAAACGCGAACGGTCGGCGAGAATCCGGACGAAAATGCGAGATGAGAAGGGGAAAAGATTCGGATTTCAACTTTGTACTTCGCGTTTGATCGGCCCAAGAGTCACGCTTCACGCCGTTACGTCGTTTAATCACGCTCTTTTTACATTACTTAACGAACCCTCGACGACCGTTGAGCTTAGAATTCGCCGAATGTATCCCCCGTGAAGATCGCAATCCACGGCCGAACGTAACTTTCGGATCCTCTTTGGACTCGATTAGCAATTATTGTCCCGAATGTGCGACGAGCTTCGACTTCGTGTAAGTATTGTTTTCGTCGTGGCCCGTGAGAGAAACGATCTTCGAGTATGTCCACACGTGAGATCCACCGAAAGAACACGCCCGCACAGCGCCGAGCAATCAACGGCGAGAGATTCGCGTTGCCTGTGTTTGCCGAGTGTGTAGCGAGAATCTGAATTTACAAAGCGCGAAGTTTTGTTCACGCTGTGTGTGTGTGTGTGTGATACATTCGAGCACCTCTACCCTGAAATTGTGTAATGTTTCTGGACAACCCTTCTCCTCCAGTTGCCATAGAGATAGACGTGTACGCATAACACAACACGTAGATATTGCAAGCTCGTGAGCGAGGAGTTCTCTTGCCTTGTAATCGTTCGGGAGAAGTGGAACTTAGAAACTAAAAAAGAGAAGAGAAAAGATAAAGGGAGAGGAAAAGAAAAAAAAGAAAAGAGAAAAAAAGGAAAGAAGGGGCAGTGAGATGAAGGTGCTACATCAGAGAGAATTTCCTCCGTCGTTGTCGCGAGTATACAACCCGCGGCTCTCTCTCTATTCTTCACGACAGAAAAACGCGACATTTTCATATCGTAATCGTCATCACGGCGTTGTGCTGAATGTCTCGCGAATGACCGCGCTTCCTCTGCACCGGAGATCCCACAAGGTCGGCTTCGCAACATTCAGATTCACCGTTGCGGGAAAGAAAATAAGATTCATTTGCGACTCGAGCTCCAAGTCGTCTCGCCGACTCGGAGAACGCGACTTGGACTTCGACGGTTGTCTGACTCGCTGTTTCACGTTCATCCCGGCGTGGATGTTTCCGCGCCTCTCGGGACGCGTAACAGCAAGTCTGAGCTCTCATCGAGCCGGATCCTCGGTACGAGAGAGAAATCACGAGTAATGGCGCGTAATAGCCTTCCGTTCGATCTTCGTCGACGGCCCCCGACGCGTCCCGTCGTCGTCGGGCGGATTTACAAGCGTGGGGAACCGCGAGTGCTCCGCAGACCTCCGGTGCAGAATCAGTGGTTCACTCTTGTCTGCAACTCTCTTGTTCCACGACACGGCACCCTCATTCGCTCGCCCCGCTCGTTCCGCTCGGCCTCTCAACTTTTCTTATCACGTAGAGATCCCACGTGCATTTTAAAACGACACGCTTTCGAGAGGCCGCGCTCGACCGCAATTATATCACCGGCCGATTTCGATCGCGCCTAACCCTCCCCCCCTTTACCCCCAGCCCTACAGCCCCCCGAACCCGAGCATCGCTCCCCGTGCCGATAACGTGATCAGAAATGACTGAACTTTCCAGCATCTGCACTGGTCGAGCCATCACGTGGACTCCATAGACAGCGGCGGAGCTTTAGGCTGGCCGAGAACTTCGAGGCCACGCGTGAACAGCGCCATCGACGTGGCCGGCTTCCTGTCCCAGGTGAGTAATCGAGCCGGGAAAAATCCACGCTACGCGGAAAGATCGATGGATTACGCGAGGTGGACAGCCGCGTCCTCGAACCCACCGATCGATCCGGCGGTGCGATTTCGCCGCGCGACCTTCCCCGGAATGGACGAAGCCCATCGTCGCCGCCGCCGTCGCCGCCGCCGCCGCCGTCGATGTCGACGTTGTCGTGTTGCCGGTGGGCTGGTAACCATGCCGGGCAAGCATTTGCCGATTATAGCAATCGAGATGATTGAAATCGAAAATCAGTAAAGTCGGCGAGCGAGTTCCAAGGGTAGCTTTAACCACACGGTAGATAGGTGGCTTAGAGTCTCTTTACAATGAAACGAACAACGTCGCTCGGTTGCAACGACATTGCTCGGTCTCGTCGAAGTCGATATGTTCTACCGCCGGGATACCCGGGAAGATTGGAAAGCGAAAGAATACGAGGAGGGAAGGACGAGATTTTACGTCAACTCGAAGTTTCCACGTCTTGGAACTCTCTTATTCTCTCTATTTCTAAGTGCTCATCTGTAACATTAATATTAAATATTTCCTTAATATATATATATATATATATATCTTTGTCTTAAATTTATAATATATGAAGACGAAATGGTAGATTCAAACGTATCGAGAGAATCGCGAAAAATATCCTCTCTCTCTCTCTCTCTCTCTCTCTCTCTCTAAATTTCTTGGATCGAAATCTCACTCGAAGCGGACGAAAAATCGCTCGAGATAACAACGGAAATATCGCCAATTGGAATTAATGTTTAACGCATAGTTGGAATGAATTTTTAATTCGCACGAACGGATATTTTAATTGAACAGAATGGATGTTTCCCGTGATGATGGAGGTCATAAAATTTATTTATCGCCCAATTTCAAATGAAAATATTCATCTGACGATTCACAGAGAGCAGAATTCTTTCTATACGAGTAAATCGTCGCTTGTTTTGCAAGTGACTTGGTCGTCACTCTGTGTTTCACGCGAACGGAATTCCGCTGGAAGAAATTTGGAGAGTGAGACAGATCATTGGGCGACGGAGACGGAACGAAGTCGCGCGATAGACAAGCAAAATCACATTTTGCAATCTCGTGGGCGTGCAGCGAAACGCAAGAGAATACGCGACACATGTATCAATTTATTATCATAAGGAGAATTATTTACACGATTGTGTCCCTGAGCGTGCGATATATAATTCATTGTTCTACCACAACGACGGCTCTCTCTCTCTCTCTCTCTCTCTCTCTCTCTCTCTCTCTTTCTCTCTCTCTCTCTCTCTCTTTCTCCCTCTCCTCAAGTCACCGTGAACGATGATCGCGGTCGAAAAACGCAAAGTTTCCCCTTCGAACGAACGAACGGATCCACATAGCGCGCGCTCATAATTGCGTTGCCGCATGTGCCACGATTGTTACACGATTGTTACAGTTTCAGATTGCGTGTTTCGGCGTATATTATTAACGTAACGCAACAAAGTCGAAAGGAATAATCATGTCCCTCAGTGCGACAGTTATTTCAATAAATAATGAACATGAAAGAGTTCGTGCGAAAGAGATACCTCTCAAACGTCAAAGTTCAAGGTAGTCTGAGACGAAGTGTAGTGCATCGGATGATCGATATGTTCGTTGGATTACTTGTAAGGAAATGGACAAATTTACTTTCGCCGCATGTGAGCGATGTGTGTATTACGTATTCCTGAATCGCGTACTTCGTCAAACTTCGGCACTAACTAAATGCCTATTTATTTTTCTATATATCTGTCCTTCACTCCGTCGTGTATATACGTATGTTTCTCTTTGTTTCTCTCTCTCTCTCTCTGTCTTTTTCTCTCTCTTTCCCTTTAATTTCCTTATAATTCGTATCATACCAGGATACACACCGCTGTACCGCAATGGGCACAACGAAACCAACGACAATCGGCTCGCAATTGGCACAATACTAGCACGGTAATGCCGTTAATAATATAAGAACCTCTGCTTGGTGTTTCTACAACGTTGATATTGCACACGCGATTTCCTGCATACCGCTGCGCGCGTACCGTTTGTTCGTACGACGTGCTATATGTGTGGAATTGACGGACAAGATTATCGAGCCAATTCATCTCGCGCGTGATTTCACAAATGATTCGCGAAATAGAGATGTACGGAAAAAAGAAGAAATTAATATTATAGCACTTTTCTCCCTCTCTCTCTCTCTCTCTCTCTCTCTCTCTCTCTCTCTCACACACACATACACACAATTACGCAATACGTTATTCCTCTCGCGTCACAAATCCACTAACTGTCGTAGTAATTGGCGTGAATCTCCCTGCTCGTTCCAGGCGCAAAATCGGCCATCCCATGTAGACGCAATCCACACGAATATTAGACACACACACACACACACAGTTAGACACATCGTTGGCCGATGTTGCAGTACATCGGGCTCAAAGTTAGATGTGATTCGAACACGAAGTAGGACGCGACTCGCAGGCACAGCGCGCACATTATGGTTACCGCGGCGAAAGCACAGTGTGCTGAAAGAGACGTTACCACCCTGGCCGTTTTCTCGTCATTCCACTCACGTCCACACTCCGTCCACGCTAACTGTTCTCTGGAACGCCTTCTCGTGTTACACGCTCAATGGTGCACTATGTGGAAACGTGTCCGTGAATAGTCCAGTCTCTTTAATGTCGAAGGCTCCATACAGTAGCGGAAGCCTCCTCCTCCTCCCCCGATCGCGTGTCCTCGCGCTCGTCCCTCAGCGCACACTCTGTATCTTGTCGGTTGCAGGAATTCCTCCGCCGCCACGGGTCCACGTCGAAATTGTGCCGTAAGGTTCGCAGTGCAGATAACTTACCTCTCGCGTCAACGAATCGCCAACAGGATCCGCGAAGAAACTCCAAGGACGAAGGTATCGAAGGCGACCGCGAGTCCTTCCTCAAGCCGAGTCAGGACGACAGGTCCGACGATCAGGACTCGAGAAGGCAGAGCAGCCTCGACAGCGCGCCGAAGGACAATACGGAGACGTCGCTGTTGGAGCCCAGTCATCAGCAGCCTTCCTCGAGGTGAGTCGAATGCACGATGTTTCTAATAATTGCCGGCTAATAATCTTTTTCCTCGACGCTTCGATCGCCACGTTGACGCGTTCATTGTACACGAAGAGTGTATTACGGCTTCTTTTCGTATAAAATCAATTCAGTTCAGTCAGCGGTATAAGAAAAGTGGAGAATTAAGGGGACTGGAGAGTCAGGTTGCTGAAAAATCGTGCTTGTTTTTGATAATATTTTGTGACCAACTGAATAAATGTGCAAGAATGAAAATTTTAGGTATATTTATACAACATATGAAGAGTAGAAAAATTTTGTTTATTAACAAACATAAATATACGATATATATATAGCTGAAATATATTCTCCTTTTTCGAGTTGTCGTTTTTGCAGTAATATCTCGGCTCTCGATGATCCATTCAGAGTGAATTTTAGCTAGAAATCTTGAGAAGGCTTATCATTATCCGGTGAACCACTATGAAAAAAAATCGAACAAAATTAACAAAATGGCAGCTATTATTAGGAAAAAATCCAAATTTTTCAGTTCTTTTACAATAAAAAAATTAATATCTCGAAATGAAATATTTTGACGCAATTGTCCATGATTCGTCTGAGAGCCAGATGAACAAATATTATTGCTTTAAAATTGCAAATCGACACGAAGCTCAGTTTCGGAGAAATCATTGCAAAAAGTTGAACAATAAAATTTCGAGGAAAACGCGTTTAAAATTTTAATGAATGTATATTTATATGAGTATTTGTTAATAAACAAAATTCTACTTTTCATATGTTATATAAATATATGAAAAATTTTCATTCTTGCACATTTATTCGTCACAAAATATTATCAAAAACAAGCACGATTTTTCAGTAATCTGACCCTCCAGTCCCCTTGAGCGAAGTAAAGTTCACCTTGCTGAGGAACATGGTAAATTTTGTAACAGTACACATCAATTCCCACGATACAATTCCCACGATATGTAGCACATATAGAACGGAAGGATAATAAATTAAAGCGGAATAATGTTCCTCGTTTTATAGAATCTTACCACAATTTTTACTATAAAACTCTCTCCGTGTACATTAAGGAGCACAATAGCACAGTATGATCGAGTTATTAATATTTTATAATTTTCAATCTATAATCAGTCAGTTATTAAGTATTTTATACATATTCGTTTCTGGATATTAACGTAATAAGGACAGGCATTTTCGAGAGAGCTGATTTTCTATGAAAGTTACAAAGAAAGGAATACGTAAACGCCCGCGAGGGACGAGTAATATCGATACACGTGAGGGCGAGCGGAATTAATCGCTCGCAACGATACAATTACCATCCATCATAGTTGCTGTTACGCGAAATTTACCGCGACTAACGACGTTGACCTGACTCGCTTGCTGACGCTGAATATATCCAATTAATTCGGCCAAAACTTAGCATGCGGACTCTATATATCAAGTTCGCTCGAGGGGGATACAAGCTGTATCGGAATGCCGCGGATCGGAGTGAACTTCGATCACCCGTTAAATTTTCTAAAATTAACTCTTCTTCGCTCAAATATCCAACAATATTCTCGAGATCACTCAGATGTGAGAATAAAATTTCATTGCTCGAAAAGGTTCGTAAAAGACCAAAAGGTCTTAAAAGTTTAAAGGTTGAAAATGTTTAAAGGACGAACGAGTTGACTAGTCGACTTTACTTCTGTATTATATTTCAAGGCGTGTTGTTACAAAATTTCTGCAAATTTTGCGAATTCGAAAAATTCGCGAAAATTCTCGCCTCGACGCACTGCTCGGCTGTCTAAGAACATTTGCATTTGCCAGTTGCAGCGTGGAGACAATACCCTTGTAATTCAACGGCTCTCGGACGGATTCGCACGCTTCCTTGTCCCGTTCGGCCGATAGTAATCTATTAAGTGGTATCGCAAAAGATCACGCTCTCAAGATATGCGAACGAGATATACACATGAGATATGAGAGGGAACGTTAACGTTAACCTCGCCTATCGAGGATTCGCGTGCCTTAGATGGCTTTACACATTCACGTAGAACGTAAATTGTTCCGGCTGCATTGTGCCGCTAGTTGAACCATGTTGCATCTCCGACACCGCGTGACCCCGTCTCTCCTCCTTGCGATTAATGATTACTTGAAGGCCTGAAGACGTTTTTGCTTGGAGAATCGCTAAAACACGATTCATGTGCATTTGCATAATAGAAGTCACCGAACGGCGCTCTCCGCCGTCACACGGTGCATGTGCAAGCAATTTCTTCTACCCGACCACTCGCGTATATCCACTTAGTATATTTTAATGATTGCATTAAGAGCATGCGCGTTTTATGATACTTTTACGGCTATTTTACTCTATTCGATTAAACCTGCATGAACGAAAATATCACCGTGTCGCTGTGGTGAGTTTTGAAATTGCGAGGCGAATCGCATGAAAACGCGATAGAGAATCCCTTTTTGTAATGCAAATATTATTCAAATAAACTCCGAATGCGTCGGTATTTTTTAATTGCGCTTTACAAATAGAACTTCTCTTATTTCCGGGAAGAGATGCCCATTTTACAATACATCAAAAATTACGGAACGTGATATTTTTTGCTCATTATACAGTTAGCAAATCTAAGTTTAATAGCGGGAAGAAAAATCGGCTCTAAAGCCGTCGAAGAACCTATCGTTAAATTAAATTTAAATTCGCGTGTTGCGCGAGACACAGCATGCATTTCATGCAGATTTATTTATACGCTACGAGTATGATCGAGGGAAAAGTTTTGATGGATTTTTCGTGATAGAAAAGTAGATTGAGTAATTTCACTAAAATTTGTCGTTCTCTCTATTTTATTTTACAGTATTAATAATCAATGATAGCATATCAGAATCTTCTTAGAAAATCGTTGTCTCTCTTTCGAATGTTAATACATTAATATATATGATATTAATATATGGAATAGACTTTCTTTTTAATATTTTATAATATATATTTCTTTTAATAAAATTTTTATTTTTAATAAAATTTAAAGATAAAATTTTTATTTAAAAATTTTAAATTTTTTAATAAAATTAAAAAAATTATTTCTTAATATTTTATAATATTTTTTTTTAATAGACTAAACAATTTGATTAAAAACAATTTGTTTATCCCAACAAATAATCATCATTGTTTTCTACCATCTTTGGTATATTATATATCTGCATATTTGGAAGTGCTGTCATAAAATTGGGTCAAAAGTCACGTTCTTGAGAAATCTATCCAAACTTTTACATGTTTTGACAGCGAGAACGGAACAACGCGAGTTTTTAAATGTGCGCGTTTTATGCTTTTCATGCGAATTTTCTACAACAATTAATAGTTTAGCTCCTATAAATTGAGTCGCGCATATCTGCATTCCGATATTTGCCTCAGCGACGTTACCGGTTTCATTAAGCCCCATTTATTATTTCACTACCGGGAAATACAATGCGCTTTCGTGCGTAACGTAAATAAAATTTAACATACACGCTTGTCGATCATATCGACTCGAATTAAATTCAGCACTCCACGCATATATAAATATGATCTCAAATCAAATACAAAGAATTCCGTCGTCGTTCGTACGCTGTGTAATTTTACGAGATTTTTTCTCCGCGACCAATTGTTCAGTTGAGAAATATCGGTATTGATAAAAGTATCGGTAAGTATCTACATATGACAATACCAATGTAATTAAAAAAACAAGCATCAATTTTCCAGAAAAACCGATGCGCCATCACTATGAATACAGCAGTAAAATACAATGGAATAGTTGAATAATAAATCGAGACCGTCCATTATTGGAAATTATCCGCAATACCGATATCAACAAACAGGCCATTATCAAAAACTGAAATATGCAACGAAAGAACGGGAAAGGTTTTAATCAAATTAATATCGATAGAAAATTCTCTCAAAGGAGTATAGTTTTCATATAATAAAATAAAATTCACTCTCACGCTATTCATTATTCATACGCTGTTTCAAATAACAATCGCTCGTATCACTTAGTAGACATATTCGAAGTATCGCGAATATTTAGATTTATATTTTATTCGTTTCGAAACTCACATTATGATTTTAATTTTCAATGAACGTACATTTATTTTTTACTCTTAAATTTTCTTCAAGCTCTGTGACTATTCAACCGTTTACTTTGCAAGATTTCTCAATTACTTCAAATTATGAGATGTACAGGTGTTTATGAACGATTTATGTCTCGCAAATCGACATTTCCAATGATAAAAATTCGCGGTAATTAAAATTCGCTCGATATCGTCGTTGTCACGACGTTACCCGGTGTGTCGATGATATCGAGACGAGTATCGATATCAGCGTCTCTACTTTAGCTGGTCTTACGGTCGGGCGACCGCATGTTGCGGATGTCAGTCGGGGGGCTCCCCCCAGCCATCCGTGTGCGTCGTTAGAAATGCAGATCGCTGACTCGTGGTGCGACTTATATAGGGTAAACGCATCGACCGTCCCGACTCGGCCAGGTGCGCTTTTGCCATCCCCTCGCCCCCTCGGGCGGGGGCGGTAATGACAGTCGGGGGAATTTAAATGCAGCGCTACATTGTTGCCGGAACACGACGACTTCGATCCGCACGGCGATGTAGGGTCGCTCGAGAGGGACCGGCTATCGATCACAATTTCAGTAGGTAGCGATACCGTCAGCCTCAGCCGGCGTCTCGCATGTAAATGACTTCACCACTTCGCGAGCTCTCGCAATTGCTCGATTTTCCGGCCACCGTCGGCGCGCTCGGCCGCCGCGATTCTCGCTTCGTCGCGTCGCGATGGTCTCGCAAGCTCGACGACGACGACGACAACAACGATGACGACGAGGAGCCTCGCGTGGGTGGAGAAAATGCACGAAAGACGTGCGATTAACGCTTCGTCTACTATGGAAGCTAATAAAATCATCCCCGAATAGAACGACCGATGTAGCTTTTATTTTGGGAAATTTTAACGTCCCATTAAAATGCATCGATCCGGCCTATAAAGGGGCATTTAGATTTGGTATTTACGTACAAAGAGGCTTTTGAGAGGGAACGTTGACGGCTGATGGAAGGCTTGAACGCCGCGTATCCGCTTTTGTTTCGCGCGATGTATGCAAAATGCGGAAAATAGATGAAGAAGTTTACATCGCGGTCGGAGTTCGGCTTGATATGGTTATTGCCTAACGCTCTCTGTTATCGCGTCGTTTCATCTCGTTCCGCTATAAATCGATCATAATTTCGGCTGAGCGTTGTTTTCGCCCGACGCGCCGGGCATAAAACCATTAAGGAGAGTCTCACCATTTATAACCACTCGGTATCTGCGCGTTTCATTTCCTGCATCGTAATGACGCGGCGATACCATCGTCTGCGAGTCTGCGAGAATGCTCACAAGAATAATCAAATGGATCGTTGTCGCTGTTATACGAAATCGAGTAGCTTTCCCTGTGTATTTTCTCGATCGTGCATCTTTCTCTTCGGGAATATAATTAATAATTGTCAGTTTATTAACCTCGCGCGTATTTCAATGAGATTAAAAGTTTCCTTCGATTTTGTCGTTGCGAAACGCAAATTTGAAGCAAATCTAAATCACGTTAAATTCAGACATTAAACTTATATTACTAAATATTCTGAAATATCGCGTGTTTCAAATAGTGAATTTCGGACGTCATTGTCAATTTTATGCCAATATTGCGAAAATTTATTTCTCTGTCGAAAAATGCATTTCTCGCTTCTATCGGGGAAAAAGAAATCGAGTAGTCCTCTCGCCTGGCACTTTCTCGATCGCGAATCTTTCCCGGTGGGCGCATAATTATCGATTTATAAATCTCATGTATATTTTAATTAACATGACAACTCTTCGATATTGCCGTGGCAAAGCTCTCCTTCGAAGCACGAATTTGAAACGAATTTAAATCACATTTAATTTAAAAATTAAATTTATATTAATAAACGTTTCGAGATATTTATTGCAAACGAATTTCATACGCATCGGTATCATCCATTTTAAACCACTTAATATTGATTTTAAACCATTTAATATCGTATGTAGATTTATCTCACTGTCGAGGAACGGGAACGCCTGTCTTTTTTGTCGGGGAACAAGGAACCCACTTTATAAATCGCGAAAACCCACGCAACGTTGCGTGGAGATTTATCTCAATTTTTCGTTTGTAAAAAATATATTTTTTAATCGTGTGGCTGTCACGTGGGAATATCAGGGATCGCTTCCGTGTATGTTAGCACATCGCGTACATCGCGATATTTGCCGCGATCGACCTCGCGACGACCTTTCAACCCGGCGCTTTCAATGCGCGTCTCGCGATTGCCGGTCCGATTTGGCGTGCCTTTTCTTGGACGCGGCTACGATTTAGCAACAATGTACACCCAAGAACACTCGAGCATTATATTTCGGTCGTTCGTTGGAATTCTCTACAACGATAGCGCGCGCCCGTACATTGTAGGATATATCCCGCGAATGTGTCCCGCTTTCTTTCCTTGTCTCGCATCATTTCCATAATGCCAATGTTACATGCACACGTGTCGCTACTACGCAACACCGCTACTACGGAGGTTATAAATTATGAAAGTGCCCGCGTACATGCGATATACGCAAACTGCCCTCCTCCCTTGCCCTCCGTCGCCGCCTTAGCCCCTAGCTTGATTTCGTCGTAGCGTTATGCAAAGCATGCCTCTTTATTCTTGCCGCGGCTTTATCTCCCTTGACATTCAGAACTTCGCTCGCCTAGCTCGCTATCGTCTAGCCGCTCCATCGCTCCGCGTTATTCTACGCGCGAATGTCTGCTCGCTAATCTCGTAGATAATCGCGATTTGGCGCGTGACTGATCCCCGAGTGAGCGCAAGAGCGACGTGAGACTTCTCGTCGCCGTTAGCTCGCGGGACGGAGAAGACGAGACGCGACATCGATAGTGTCTTAAAATTATGCACTTTGCGGCAGAATTGATTGCCAGAGCAGTATGATCAAGGGACTGGGCTTCAGAATGACAGGCGTCCCATGAGAGAACTCAATCTCCGCGATTTTTTCGAAAACAAATTCTCCCGTTGGATTCTCTCGCCGGTTGCGCTCCAAACTGCATTCACAAAAGCGCTCGAACAGTTTTGAAGCCCAGCGCGTGCGATTCAATCGCAGACAAGTCTATATAGATCGCATTGTAAATTTACCACCTGTAAGACAAGTTCGCTGATATTCACCTGAGATTTGATCGATAATGCCTGAATCTTTTTGACTTAGGCTTGATTTAATCGAAATTTGGGAATAAAACCTTTGATTTCGATGAAGTAGAATCTCCGATCCCTCTTTAGTATTAGCGTGAACACGTAGTCGCCGAGCGAAAATCTCGCAATAATCTCCGCAGGAGAGAACAGCCGAATCACGAGGATACTCAGCGGCGATAATTAAAGTGCTTCCGTTGATGAAATCGGTGTAATGGAATTGAATGAATTGAATGAATTAAATGAATTCGATTGGCGCGCACGGTCGAGCGAGTTAACGAACGTATTCGCGTTCATCGGCCGTATCCAGATCGACCGATCTTGGGCCCCGATTTCATTCTAACGGTCGTTCATCTCGCGATTCAATATCACTGCCGCCAAGTGTAAATATCACATATGCGAGTGTAAATATCACCCTGTACAAACTCCGCCGAACGATCGTTTTCGCAGACGTGTCAGAAATAATCCCGCCCGGTGCCGGTTTCAGGGACTCCCCGGTGGCGTCTTCGTCGTTGGTCGCCAGACGCTTCGGAGGATGGCGCAGTAGCGGAAATCACGAGTACGTCAGATGCCCAGTGCGGCAGCCTGCTTCCATGGACGAGCGGTAAAAAGAAAAGGAATTTTACACTTGCATTACAATTTTCGTTAAGTTCCACCCAAAAAAAAAAGTAATTTCAGAACAAGCGGAATCATCTAAATTTTAGAGGGTTTTATTCTTACATATGGCCTCAAGAGGATTCCTCTAAAATTAAAAGGAAAATATTATGAACATATTGTTCTTAAAGTTAGAGGAATTATATGTTGTGTATATATAATGCAAATCTTATTGATTTTAATATAAATTCCCTCTACACAGATTATTTGATCTTTCTTTAAGAGGATTATTATTTAGTTTCGTTCTGTACTTTGTTCTTACTGGTTGTACCAGTTAATTTGAAGAAATTATTATTAAAGAAGCCGACAATCAAGTCAACATATTCCTCTTCATATGAGAGGAAAATTAATCGAGGATGAGAGGAAATCCTCTTGAAATAAATGGAAAACAGAATAATATCTAATAAATTTTAGATGAATAGTTCACTTTAATCGCTTCATCGAAAGAGAAATCCTTTCTCTGTAAAAGGCTTCGCTCACAATGTGAAACTATGAAAAATCACTTTACAAATAGAATACTTTCTTTGGGTGTGCACGTACTTGTGTACGTTTTTTCTTCCCGTGCGGACGCAATCGCGACGCTCTTCCTTCTTCATAACAAGAACGCAGCTGTGCGGCCTCGAAATCGAGGTAACTTTGCGTTACAATTAATCATCGGCAGAGCACGCGAATAAAAGTTGCCGGGTTCTTCCTTCCTTTAAATTGTAAATTAAAGTTCACGGTACTCCTTCGCGTCCTTCTCCCGGTCTCCGCGAGCGTCTCTCCCGCGAAACCGGGCGCGCTCTCGGATTGGAAAAAAAGGTTTCCGGCAGTTCTCAAAGCGTGCGGTCGTCTTCGCGCGCTAACATCATAATTAAAATTTATGGATCATTTCCCGAGACCCGAGAATAACGAGCGCTGGAAGTTTTCCCTTTCGGTAGATAGAGCAAAGTTACGGCCGCAGCGACGAAGTAATACCCACAGTAGTTCGGAAAACAGTTGCATAAACTGCGGGGAAAGGTCGAAAGTTGGCTTATAATTGACCAAATTTCCCAGCGCGGAAAATAACCGCCGTGGCATTTCGCTCGTAATGAAGTTGCCCCGCTGAGGTTTGGAGCGGGAAGGAGCAAGTGTGGTTTTGTAATCAGGGAAGTTTCGAGAGGGACGAGAAAGATACGCTTTTCTGCTGCGCATCGCAGCTGCGTTCGCAACACAGCCCGTTCACTCGTTACTTGCTCCTTGTTTGTTGCTTCTTGTTCATAATTGCTCCTTAAACGATATCGCTTGTTACTCCGCATCGCTGACAAAAGACAACAAAACAGGATGGCGTCGGAAAAATATCGCCCGCCGTGTTTATGCCTCTTTCTTGAGTTTTTCTTCGATCTCAAATATTCGACGACACTTTTAATTAAAATCTGTAGGATGTATACTTTTCAAATTATGTTTTAGTTTCATTCTGTCGGATGCTTGAAGACATCTTCCAGCCAAAAGATTTAAACTTTTTTTCTAATTTAACTCTTTTCCCATGTCTAAAGATATCTTCCGGCTGAAAGTATCTTAACGACTTTTTCTAATTTCACCTTCTTTGTACCGTTTATATTTTAACGCAAGATCTCTCTCCCTAACTAAGCGACATTCGTCGTCGTGATCGGAAATATTTCTTGATGCGTCGAGAAATATTAAACAAGCAGCTGGGACCTTTCCTTGGCCGCTCGGTCGCCGTCCACTTCAGAATATGATTGCTCACAGCACGCAGATATCCCGCGAGGTCTGCAAAATGCATCCCCTCGTGAATTTGCAATAAAGCATCGATATTTATATCTCCCGAGGCTATCGATCATAAATGAACGTCGGTGACGTCGTTTAGTCCTACAAATATCTCCTCGGCCGTTCAAGACCGACCGCTTGGTCACGCGCCAAATCTCGCGCGAGGCTGATCAGTCCGCGCGCGACGGCAGCCTGAGTGCCGAATATCTCCTAGCAGATCCTTTCACAGAAAATCCCAATATCGACATTTCGACCGCAAGCGCAAATATTTGCTTGAAATTTCGAGCGCCACTTCTCAAGCTAATCCGTAATTACCGCTCACCGTTAACCGTAAGAAATAATCAAAATTCTCGTTACCGTCAGCGTTAGTCTCGTTAATCGCATCGAAAAATCACTCGTTATCGTCGTCGAGTATCTCCTCGAAAGGAGTCCTAGCGAGAGTCGAATCTCGGTGTAGCTCGCGATTACTCCCAACAATCGACAATCACAAGCACGAGCACGACGGCGACGGCCGCAACGACTGATCCCGGTGATCCCGCAGGTCTTACCGGCGATCGTACGACTCCGAGGCTCCTCGTCCGTCATCGCGGTACCATCATTACCACCGGCGCACCGACTCCGAGCGGCACTCCAAGAGCTGCGACTATACGCGCCGCACTACGGAGTCGAGCATCGAGGTGCAGCACTTCGGCCTGCCGATCCTCAGCGTGAGCGAGCCGAGTCCGCCGGACGAGAGCGAGCGCGTCGACGACTACTTGTAGGACTTGCTTGCCGAGGACTTCCTGAAGGAGCTCCTCGTGTAAACCACCCGCGACCTCTGCACTTCTCCTCGCCGCCCAGCGACCACGGCCGCGAGCTCGCCGGGCTGGACCTTGATCACGCGGAACCGCGAGTCGCGATGTCGCGACTGGACGTTTGACACTTTGCCCCCCTCTTCCTCTTCTTCGCTCTTTCTCTCGTTCTTTCTCTTCCTCCCCCGTGTCCTCATCGACCTCGAACAACCGCGGTATCATCGCTCGCGTCGGCCCGCGAAGCTGTGAATCTTCGCGTTTCTTCGAGGAATCGCGACCGATCCAAGTAAGTCTGCAGCGAGGAGAAGGGCAAGGAGAGAAAGAGAGAGAGGGAGAGAGAGAGAGAGAGAGAGAGAGAGAGAGAGAGAGAGAGAGAATGTATGTGTGCGCGCATGTGTGTGTATGTATGCATGTATATGTGTGAGAGCGATCTGCCTCTGCTCCTTCTAAGCGATATTCTCGTGCGTGTTACTTTAGAGAAAAATGTTCGAAGGTTATAAATATATTTGCTACTCGTATCTCGTAGGAACTCTCCGCGCGGCGAGCGCTCGCGTCTCCCACGCGGATCTCGCTCGCACAGCCTCCCGAAAGCGCGTCGAGATCGCGCCTCGTTATGATCCATATCTTTCCTCGATAACCCCGCGACGATGATCCGACGTGTCCCGCGCGCGCGTGTCCTGCAAAGCCGAGGGAGAAGAAAGCGAAGTCCACGTCGAATATCGCGAGCGCTCGTCGCGTCGCATCAGCCAACCGCTAAGACGCGCGCGGCTCGACGAGCGATTCCGCTGCTTCGATACTGCTAATTGGGTCGACGTCGCCTCGACGCGGGGGAGTTCCCCGCACTTCCGAGGAATTTGCGTTCAGGTTCAAGTTCGCCGCGCGCTCGCTCTTTACTCTTCTTTTACTGGATAATTCGGTACAACTGCGACTGTACAACTGCGGGATAACGAGAGTCGTGTCTCAAAGTTCCTTACACGCTCGTTCAATTATACTTTCCTTCGAACAAAACGCGTAACCTACGATGCGCGATAGTCCCCTTCCGACTCGCGCATTTCCTCGGTCTCCGTGTTCGGTCTCCTCCCCCCCCCCTCTCTCTCTCTCTCTCTCTCTCTCTCTCTCTTTCTCACACTTTTGTTTCCGCTCGTTCCTTCCTGAGGTCTGTTCTTTTTAGCTGAATTAGGTTGCACTTTCTTCCTTTAGAACGTAATACATATAATATATCGAGCATCGAAGAAGAAAGGAACAACGTTCCAATAATGCAGCTAAAAGGAACAAGAAGGAGACCGACAAATCTCTTTATCTCGCGCGAACTCGTGAAACACTTCTACGTGGAGGGGGAAAGTCTCGGTTCCATCGAGTGAAAATTCGGAAACGAGAAACATCTCCCTTTAAACCATATTAAAACTTCGTTGCGATTCGAACGATTGAAAATTTGTTTGTTCCATCAGTCAAATTTCCCGTCCGTCTCTATTCCCTCCTATACTCTTCAGTTAGACCAACAGAATTTAAAAAAAAATAGACGAGAAATATTTTGATGGGAAGAATTAAAGTTACAAAAACAATTTGATTAAGAAAGAGGCTCTCCGCCTTATTCGCAATGCATTCAAATGATAAAAAATCTCCAAAAGCCCGAGTTCTCTGACGAAATGCTCTCTTTTCCGTGCAAACTCTTCCGAATTGGAAAATTTTCACGAGTTCACGTCGGAGGAAAAGAATCCATCGTCGACTCCCAGGCCCTCTTACTTCCACCGGCACACGGAGCTCGCAACCCGAAGGTCGCGACCTCGTCATCGAACGATCTCGAGATACGGGCACAAATCGCGTCTGTGATATGCGCCGTGTTAGCCTGACACGTGTCGGGGAGGTTACCCGCGCTACAAACACCTAAGGATAACGTAACGTCTGTGCACGCCAAGTGCCAGCCCAAATGTGACCCCGATGCGCGGATGAATTACGTCGATGTCAGCGGGACACCGCTTATTATTCGTGTCAACAGCTTCTGCTCCCGCGGCTGTGGGGAGAGACGGACGCGATTATTCGTAACGGCACGTCATAAGCACTCGCGACGCTACAACGCGCGCGTTAATTAATCGCGCGCTGCCCCGAACATGATCAGCCCACGACGTGTTGTCCGTCGTCAGCGAGCACAGGATTCTTCACGAAGCGGTTAGCGAGACGCGACGTGTCAGACAACGAGTGGACGGTGAGACTCGTTGTCTTTCTCTCAAGAGAGGAAGAGAGGGACATCGACGGGGAGGATCTTCTTTCCGACGAGGTAGCGAGATAGGTCACGCGAGATAGAACGCGTGCGACAGATTCGCGCGAGGATCGGCGACGGGTTAGTCGAGATTGTTAACAGCGTGATATTACGGCGTCTTATCGTTCGATTAAGGAATCTTCTTCCTCCCTCCTCCTCGTCATGAGAACTCGTCGCTGTACGAAGCGCACGTGCCTGATCGCCGTCGATCTCTCTTGACTTCACATCTGCGGACCAATCGTTGCGGGGAAGAGAGCGGGGCCATTATCGTAAGAAACGTCAGGGGGGACAATCCGCGAGAAGAGATCGTCCGCTCGTCACGTGTAAGACGCGCGACCGAGCGAAGTGAAACTGGCACGAGCGTGCGTATGAGGGAAATAATGAGCGGGATCATTACGGTCTAATCGCACGATGTCGTTTTCGCCGGGTCGAGCAGCTTCATAGTTGAAGCGCAAGTCGGTGAGTTTCAGTCGAGCGAACGATTCCGAGGTCGATCGTGTTACTCAGTCGACTCAGCTGGTTATTTCATTCGTCGCACTGTGAGACATCGGACGTCTCACGCGACAGCGTATCGCTGTCTCTCTCTTTCTGCTCACTCAAGAGACGACTTTGAATTCTTCGAGCACGTCCCGCGCGAGGGAGCTTACTTTGGAAATACGTTTCGTAGCGTCGCTTTTAGGGCGGGTTGTTCCAACTCCTCGGTAAGTTAACTGATAGTTAAGTCGTATGTCTATCTTTGTTTTCGATTGAAGGGAAAACAAAGATAAATATATGATTTAACTATCAGTTAACTTACCGAGAAGTTGGAGCAACCGGCCCTCAATCTCGCAAGAAGCGAAACATCCGCGAAGAAAAATTGTGTTCCTATCGTCACTTGTACATATCGTCATGATGATTCGAAGGCGGTTTTTACCTTTCACGTGCGCTTCGATCTCTCGATATCTCTACGCGGGTGATTTACAAACCGCCAAGTTCGGGGACCAATCGAGCCGCGCGTCGATGCATTCGCATTTTATCACGAGCACATCGTCGAAGGTTTTTACAAAAAGCCACGTTACATCACGGTGAACTTGACGAAACTTATCAACTTAACGAGGCATATCAACATCGAATTTTATTTCGGCCTTCTCGACGGTTAAGCGGCGAAATCGAGGGAGCTGAAGATTTATAACACATACATCGTTGATTCGATCCTTCACCCTTTCATCTATCCCTTCCCTCGCGCGTCAACGATCACCTCCCGCAAACTTAGAGACACTAACGAGCATCTTAACTCGAATTAACGAGTGATCAACCTAAAAGTTCACTCGACAGGAAAGAATCCATTTAAACTCACCGCAGACTAATTCCCGCGTCGACCCGACGACGAGCGGCATTTCGCTCACAGTCGCGTTACAGTCCAATTTCATCGATTGATCTTCACCTCACGGAAACAACCGACCGGCCGTCGGAAGCGCGACGGTCTCAGTTCCACGGGCAGCTTTGTTCAAAGTCGCTGACACGCATAGAAACGAAGACATCGACGATCGCGTGGAGCCGCGCGCGAGCGAAGGCACGCCTAGCGACGTTTAAACGCGCGCTGAACCCGGACCTATCTCAACGCTGCGTCAGTTGCGCCGGTCAGCTGATCGCCCTAGCACGTGCCGGCCGGCCACGTGCTCGACGGATCGTGCGCGATCGATGCATTCGCTCGATACCAGTCGCGCATGCGCGCCAACAGGTGCGACTGCGACGGTCGAGCGGCCCGGTACAGCGACTGCGAGGTCGGAGCTTGTCTATGCTTGTCTCTCGAGGTCGCGAAGTGGGGCTAAGGCCGCGCTTGCCACATGCCGTCACGTACAGTGATAACTATGGCTTCCTGCAATAACGCCTATGGAATGCGACTATTGTTTTCCGCCGCGTGCCGCGCGTAGAGCGGATCGAGCGACGACATCTCCGCTTCCAGACGTCGTAGCGACTTGAAACAAACACCGTTGGAAAGGAGAGAACAGCGTGCATGAGAAGCACGCGAAATCGCCCTCCCGCGGAATCAGGATTTATTAGCGCAGTTGCGTAAACGCGGGAGACATCGATTTTGGAGTTTTCCTTGAAGTGGGGATTGATCTATGTTGAAAGTCAATGAGGAAGATTGGTTTAGGCTTGTGATACGCAGCGTGAATTTTATGTTCTCAATGAATATAAATACGGTGAATATAAATGAATATGAATACGGTTCGAAGATAAAAGGAAATAATTGCGACGGGAGGGAACTTTACTCTGATTTTCGTGTATTTGGAAATTAATTTGTCAGCAAATTTTGAATGTTAATGCATTGTGCAGAATTATGCGGGAGAAAAAAGATAACATACCGATTGGATTCTTTTGAATAAAATCAGTCTTTATATTATTTTCAAATTCGCTGCGCAGGTTACCGCGCGCGATGCTACCGTCTCTTCCGTCCGTGAAAATAAGATATTTCCTTATTTGTTTATTCCTTCAATCATAGCTGCGTCGGGCAAGCACACATAAAGGATGCACATCGAGTTCGCGTTGTACAACGAACGAATCCCGAATTATTATTTACCCACTTCGATGCATCCTGTTGTCGTAGTAGCCGCGTCGTCGAAATAGCTTTGGTTACAAACGCGGAGAACCGGTTCGCTCGATATTATAAACATCGATCGTTAAACTTTCATGTCCACCGTAGGATTCTGCCATTGTAACTCCAATCCGACGTTTCAAATCGATAACCCAGCTCGCCTTTGGATCTTCGGCGGAAATACTGTCGCACGTGTCGAGGCGGAGGACCTTCGACGTACAGGACGAGCGAACGGCCGATGTTCATACCGCGCCGCGTTCATCGTCGCCGCCGCCGTCTAGCGGCTGCGTAAGGAAATCGATAACGCAACCTTCACTCTTTCTGAGCGTGATCGCTCAGATTGTCGCTGTGTATTCTCATTGTCTCGCGCGCATTGATCCCGCGCCGCAGGATCCACGACGACTTCCCAGAGCGGAGCAGAAAATCACGTTGGCGTCAAAGTGAAAGAGAGAAAATCGCTACGGAAATGCACTTCTCGACCGTGATTCGATCGTTTTCCTGTTCTCACTTTTTTTTTCTCGTATCATTTTGGCGCACTCGCGAGGCAACTTTTCCGTTTCACCTGAGTGAGTGGCGTGTCTCGTGCTCGCTGATGAGATTTGCGGCGAGATCTCGTTAGCAATATCGAACTTCCGAGAATCAGCATTTTGTCAAAGACGAATGGAAGGGGGGAGAGGGGTGATAGCCGATGCTGAGTCTCCTTATCGCGCCGCGCGACGTGAAGTATCATGGGCTTTCACGTGAATTGTATCCACAACGATCGTGCGACTCTCGCATGCTCGCACGTGTCGTCTCGTTCGCACGCGCGCGCAAAATCTCGCGAGCTGAGGAGACGACGCGGGCGTATCGAATATCCGTTCGGGAAACTTGGAACCAGCGGCTCTCGAGTGGCCGCCTAAATTTGTATGTGTTTGCGTTTATATATAAACATACGTATTTACTCATACGTATCTTGCGGACACTTCACGTATCATGAAAACTAATCGGCGAAATATGAGATGGTAAAGGTCGAGAGGGAGAGAGAGAGAGAGAGAGAGAGAGAGAGAGAGAGAGAGAGAGAGAGAGAGAGAGATAGAGAGAGATATATGTAACATTTCCGCGGAAAGGAACATCCGGATACATCAAAGTTCATGCTGAGATCCATTAGCGAGCCGAATCACTCGGCTGTAAATCGCATTTACGCTCAATGTTTTCCACGTACGCCGAGATCGTGCTTGTTTCTTTCTCCCGTTATTTTATCGTCCGTCACATTTATCTCATTTATTATTTATCAACTATTTTATCGCTGCTTTAGTTTCGCCGCGTCGACGCGAAAACACTCGCATCGATCAAATTGGCAGTGAAGTGGACGGAGTGCAACGAAAGCGCGAATTATTATCATTATTATTATTCGACGTAATTCACCTTTGAGCGGTGACGAACGGTAAATCGTTCCCGACGAAGCGAGTTGGCATCCGCGCCAGATCGCGACAGGTCGGATAGGAGCATGAACTTTGCGCAACACCCACACATACGTACACGGAGACACACGCGTATCCACACACGCGAGGAGATCGACAAGGATTCAATTACCTCCAAACGATTGATAATTATAGCTTTAAACGAAGAGACCAAATAATTAAAGAAGAGTCCATATTCTCTTACGAAAAGGGCAGTCTTAGGGAAACCCGAATTAAGCAATTTTACAAAGAAAGAAAGAGTATCCGTCTAAGATTACTATCTATCCTCTGTACATACATACATATATATACGTACATATATATATATATATATATATATAGCTGTATGTAGAATTAGAGACGCGATTGGTCCGAGGCAACGCGGATCAACCGTGCGAGCAATCGTTCGATCGATCGAGGGTGCGGGGATTAAGAGGAAGACTTCGGCGAAGATCCCGCGAAGATCTCTGTCTGTCGCCGTAACGTCGTAACGTCGAATGCTCCGAATGTAAATAACGATAAGAGACGTTCTCTGTCTCGTCGCGTTGCGTGTATTCGGCGGGTGTAACTTAGCCTCTCATGTAATAAGCATCGCTTCTATATCATTGGCGCGAGTGAACAATACGACGTATATGTATACACCCAAGAAAAAGTAATTTCAAAATAAGCGGAATCATCTAAATTTTAGAGGATTTTACTCTTATATTTTATTCTTATATATATATCTTATATATACTCAAGAGGATTCCTCTAAAATCAAACGAAAAATATTATATATAAACACATTTTCTTATTCTTAAAAAGTTAGGGGAATTATACCTTATGCGTATAATGCAAATCTTATTGATTTCAATATAAATTTCTTCTCATACACAGATTATTTAATCGCTTTTTTAAAAGGATTATTATTCTTGTTGTACTTTATTCTTACTGTTTATACGTTCCTTTGCAAGGAAAGGAGAGAAAATTATTATGAAACTGTCCGGAAGAAATTCCAGGTAAATTTTTCTTTGACTTCCTGCTGGAAAAGTAGGAGAAGATATAAATTTGTAATTTTTAATACTCTAAGTGGCATTTAAGATAGTGCACAACGCGACATTGATATAAATGGATATATGTATGCATTTACGCTGAAATGTGGGCCAGTATGTGTTTAAATTAATTTTCTCCAAAAATTCTTGAACTTCGTTCATGACGAAACAACCGAGAACAGTAACACAAACTGAATAACGATCTCTCTTCCTTTTTCCTCTCTCCTCCAGGTGTTCATAAAATAAATGTGGTGACGATCGTCACATTCACAGAATGTCTCTGTGTGAATAGATAGAAGAGGAAAAACGCCAACAACGCGTTCCTCTTGATATAAGAGGAAAATTAATTGATATGAGAGAAAATCCTCTTGAAATAAGAGGAAAACAGTTAGAACAATATCTAATAAATTTTAGATGAATGAATCGCTTTAATCGCTTCATCGAAAGAGGAATCCTTTTCCTGTGAGAGGCTTCGCTTAGAATACGAGACGATGAAAAAAATCACTTTGCAAGTAGAATATTTTTTTTTTGGGTGCATACACATACACACAACAAATACACACGACATAGTGGCGTTCTCAGCATAGTCAGCATAGTGACTGTTCTCGGATTAGAAGTGTAAAAAGTGTCGGAAAGAGGAGTGTCTACATTTAAGTCGAACGCATGATTGTGTCGTTCACACGATGCTGTGAGTCATCTTTGAAATTTACAGCCGAGAGAGAGGGAGAGAGAGAGAGAGAGAGAGAGAGAGAGAGAGAGAGAGATCTTATGTTTCTTACCGAAATGGGATAAACATTATTTTTCACAGATTTGTAAGCTACATATATATATTTTCTTAACAACGTCGCGCACGCGTCAAGGAATCGTTCCGCCTCGCAAAGAACACCCTCGAATATCTACGGATAGCTCTCTTTGTACATATGCGCACCCTCTATCATCGACGGACCTATTGTGTACGCCTAAAGACTCGTCCGAGCGGAAGTAGGTAGAAAACGCAAAATCAACGAGACACGATCGTCGCCACGATCATTCATCCGACAACGACGCTCCAGCCCTTTCGCGGTTCCCTTTTTCCCCTCGATGTGCGAATCCTCCTCCGGCGCGACGCCGGGAGCCGTAACAATTCGATGTGTATATTTGCATGTAAATATATATCTCTGTACTTTGCGTATTCGGGGCAGCGAGAGGCGATAGAACGCCGTCGCGTCGCCGCTGAGTCCGCTCCGATCGCGCTTGCGACTGATCGCGCGATCCTTCTCTCCTCGATCGGCGCGATCCGCGAGCGAGCGAGCGAGCGAGCGAACGAAGAAGATGCGGACGAAGACGAAGGAGAGGAGGAAGAGGAGCATTCTCGGTGTAACACCCTGCGGACACTGTGAGAGCGTAGAGTTTAAGGTCCGTCAATTCGTGACACGCTATAAATTCTAAACCTGTGATTTATCAAGTCTAACTTTAGGGATTAGCTTTAAAGCTCTTGGTAGTACGAGTACCAGATGATGATACACGCGATCTAAGCGCGATCTAAATACTCTATACATACTATACATACGACGATCCGTGCGCTCTCTCTCTCTCTCTCTCTCTCTCTCTTTCTCTCGATTTACAGACATATCGTATATACTTCTCTGCACGCTCCGTTGTAATCGGCGAGGAGGAGATCGTTCAGCCGAGCGTTAATCCTTAATGAATACGATAAACGCTCGCGCGTCCGCTCCACGTGGAATTAACACTCGAGCCATCGTGAGGACTCCGTGGACCCCCATCGAGTTCCCTCGATGTCGCCTTCGGTTTCCCGCGCGAAGGACCGCCACGGCAGATGAAACGTGCATTTTCCACGGACCAAAGTGACAACGTCTGTCTTGCGCGTGTATTCCTTCTTCTCTTTTCTTCTCGAGGTCCTCACTCCGTCACGCGACTAGACGATCACTCGCTCGCAGGAGCTCACCAGTCTCACGCTCTGGTTAAGGATTAAAGTGTATTTTTTCAAGCGATTAACCGGTGTAACTAAGAGTTCTGCGAGAGCTCGCGACCTTCGACGTCGATCGTGATCGGGAGAAGGACGAACAAAGGGCGCGATATCGTGGCGAAGAAAAAGCGCGCGAGCGAGAGAGAGAGAGAGAGAGAGAGAGACCTTTCATTTACATCGATAACTTTATATAGCCGCTCCTTCTTGTAGATAGCCCCGAGCGGGTCTAAACCTTTTTATTGAATGAACTCTATCACACGTCCTGTACCAATTTGACTTATATATGATATATAATTAAAAGTAACGATTAAAAAAAAAGAATATAACTTTACACACGTGTAGATTCTTCACTGCGTCGATCCTTCAGCGGTTTCTTCAGCAGCAGCTTCTCAGGTGCTAAATCGAGGTGCATGGATGTATGAACGATTGAATGAAAAGAGAAAGAAAAAACAAATAATCGTGATAAATGGCTTTGGAAGCAGTTGGTTCGGGCTTAAATATAATCGTGGGCAGGTGCCCATCGGCTGCTCTAATCACAGGAGTGGCTTTCTATCGATTACTACGGTTACTATCGGTAAATTAAAGCCTGCACGCTATGGTATCCGTAGTTTCGCTAACTAACCAGGCCGAAGTCCTTCGATTAGATTATCTGTCGGGCTCTCGCCGTTAACTTCCGGCTGAAGCACGTCCAAAATGTTCGCGGTAGACGAAGCATGATACGCTCGATATACAATACGGGGTGATTATGATTTAACGGCAGGTTTTAGTAGTTCAGTTGAATAATTCAACGACGTTTCGGAACGAATGTGCTTCTTTGACGGAAACCGCGACAGAGGAATGTCGAGACCGTGATAGCTCTGAAATGTCAAAGGATTAGAAATTAGGAATGCTCGAAGCAACCTGTTGGCTACTGCATCTGCGAAAGGGACGTTTCAGGAGAAGTGATACGCAGATGCTCGACAGAGAGAGAGAGAGAGAGAGAGAGAGAGAGAGAGACTACGCTGTTGAAATTATACGTGTATATATATTTGTACCAGATCGTCATTTGTACATCAAGTTCGTATGTTAGTCGAACACTCGAGCCGATTTCCATGACTCGTCGTCTCACTAATCACTAATCGACGCTCTTAAGAAGTTCAAGAAATAAGCAGGAGGCCGGCGTCTCTTGCATCATTTTGTCCCTCTTTCCTTCCTCTTTTCTTCTCCTTTCTTTTTTCTTTTTTTTTCTTTTTTCTTGTCTTTTCGACTGTTTCCTCCTGAATGTAGTCTGTCATCTCATCTCAGAGAACAGGGAAACTTGATTCTGGTCTTAACGGTAAGTTTCACTCATCTGCTATGTGGAGTGATAGACTGAAGAGGAATAACGCTACTTATTTAAAATCGAGTACCGATGAACGTGTTCGCCGTTTACTTTCCGATTTCCCATTCGTAAAAACTTTATATCCGAGAGACGTAACACGGCTTTATATCCTGATTTTTATGGACGTCTTTTTTATGCGTACGGTAATGTTGAGAGATAGTTGCACAAATATTATACACGAACTTATCACTACGTGAAACAGTTTTCTCCTTTCTATCCTGTGCGCGTTTAACCAACGAGAAATGTTGAGCCATTAAACATAGATATATGTGAGCATTGAAAAATCGACCCCAACAGAAGCTTCGGTAAAACCCATGGTTTACAATGTGAGAGAATGAACGTTACGACATTTGTAACGCATACATGTTACAAAATTCATGGATTTCACAGAATACGATTTACGATTAATTTTTCCTCCTCCGAGTAATTATCAATAATTTCACTCGCTAGTCCGAAATTGGTGTTTACATATTGTTTCCCTAAGTCCTTCTGCACTTAACAGACTCGGTATACCCTACGAAATTGCACACATCTAACGTCTCTAATGGAAATTCTATACACCCTTTTTCACAGCCAAGTTGTGAAAATAAAATCTCCAGAGATTAACTTTAGTACATCATTAACTCGCTTACTCGACTGGATATGATTTCACGATTGATCTACTCCCGGAAGAAAAAAATTACATGTCTCAAAAACTCGATAGTACATCTAATTGTAACGCGCGGTCTCGCAAGACTGAGATAACCGTTTCGTGTGTTTAGCAATGCACTATGTACAAGGTACATAATCACTGTGTAAAATTATTGTTACGAGTATTTTTATGTACAGCTTGGAGAATGTGGAAATTGCGACTGCCGAGAAAATGTTTCTTCCGATTCGGCATTCGATTAGATATTTGAATTACGAACCGCACGAGAGAGTTGCTTAGCAAGACAGACACTTAGCAAGGTAAATACACCTGCGGGATGAAATATGCACATGGTGATGCATATCTTTCCTCAGTGACCAGTTTATGCGAGCCCTCTCACATACGACGAATCGCAGCACTTTCGAGCTACGGCTCCGTGCTTCTAATCTCTTGACATTACAATTCCCATTTTCACCATCATGTAAGGCATTCTTCTCAGAATGCACTTTGCACTGTTTAACTTTTGTTATATATTTTTCTCATCGATGTCTGCCACTGATTCGACCAGACTCGCATTATCCTTGTCTCCGGTGGCTTCAAGAGCACTGTCATTGATACTACTTATGCTTTCATCTTGATTGAAGCAAATATCACCAATTTCTAAATCTATCGAACTATCGGCCTTTGACGTTTGACTAATGTTTACAGTGTCCTCTCCAAAGGTTGTGTCCATGGAAGAGTCCATTTTGGACTCTGAACTACATTGCGAGTCGTTCAAGTTAACATTCCTTGGTAACTTGCTCTCAGACTTCTCTGTAGAATCACTGTCTATCAATCCTTCATTAGAGAAAGATTCACTTTGAGGTGTTTCATCATTGCTCGTATCTTTTGACTCATCTAACTTTTTCATTAGATCTTCCCAAGGATCTTCCAAGAAGGAAAGCATATCTACATATTCTGATATGCTTACTCGCCTGTGCGTTCCTTTGTCACCCTGAAATTTCAAACATTAAATATATATTTTAGATCACATACAACAAATCTTATTGCACAGTATATATCTTATATTAAACGTTATATACAAATTATTTTTTCAGGTAGTTGATGTTTGATGTAAATAAATTTGACAAAACGACATCATAAATACCTTTCTTTGCTTATGAAAATTCTTGAAAGAAGGCTGTTTATAAGGAGAGTACGGGCTATTACTATTTGATCTTGAAGGAGTGTAATAGTTATTTCTGTAATTACACCTTACATTGGTGTTGTTAAAATTGTTACAATTCAATCTCGGAGTATTGTAACTGTTCCTGTAATTACACCCTCCACTATCTGGACTAGAATTATTGCGTCCACCTCTGGGACTGCGCCAATTACTGTCGTACTTCTTATATTGTGTCACCGGTGTGCTAATGTTTAAAGGGATAAAATCACCCCCGCAAGTCTGCTCTGTACTATCGTTCGCAGGAAAACTCTGATAACCTTTCCTAGCGGACGGATAACCTCTCTTATTCGCATTCTCGTGCGAATTCCAATTGTATGGCGTGTGCCTTCGGCGATTCGGGCCGCTCGGAGTACTCAACGGCGATTTCTTCATTTTCGAAATTAACACGCAACAATTATCGTAGAGCAGAGTGATATAATTCACGATTATTTACAACGAGCACGCACAATCTCGTAAACAGAACGAAAGACTGGAAATGGACGACGCGCGACCGATGTATCGATGTCCGATTGTTTCCTTTATTCAAAAATCAGTATTCTTATAATTATTTCCAAATTCCTTAACGTCCAGTGGTATTAATTACAAGCGAAACAGTTGCCCAATCTACCGTTGAGGCAATATTTGGAAATAAAAAATTTTCCAATTTGCCATTAGCTTGCACTGTTTGATTAATAAGACGCGGCTGACTTATGGTTGAGTTGTACTACGACGAATCTCGAATAGTCATGGATGGTGGTGGCTCGTAGCGGAGACTTTGGAACTAACAAAGTGTCCGACCTATAGAAACCTACAGAAGAATAATGTAGGAATATTATGTGTAATATCGCAGGACGTTTGAGACTTAAGAGAAGTAATAAGGACGATCGATGATAACTTGCAGCAAAATCAATTTAGAATTTGTTCTGAACTCCTGCAGACCCTTAATTATAATGGGCCACGTAGCCCAGATATAAACCTACTTAGCTAGGACTCAAACCACTCAAGCACAACGAGTCTTTTCTCGGCACTGTTAGGTGGCGCCACTAAGACTGTTCAGTTGTGTTTTTAAGGATCCTGCGGCAAAGGTTTCTCCCCTATGAACCGCCACACTATTCCTTTGACGACGAATCGAATTTGTACGATTCAAGAGCGTTGTAAGAGCCCTTCACTTCAAAGTTATACGCATTAAGGGTAAATCAGGAACGATACATTTTAATTACGTTTAAACAATGGATCAAACGAATTCTCCAAACAGTGCGACTAAACAACAGGTAAGAGGTATTTCTTTTTAAGTAATATGGCGATTCAATGGCGGGACAAGAACTTTGATTTTACAATGTCACATTTGAATAATAACGAATCGAAAGTGCACTCTGTCTTCTTTGACGAACATTTGATGAACATATTTCCGAGAAAAATCGAAATTCAAAAAATGGAGTAATGTTCTGAAAAATCGTAATTTCGAAAACTGAATATATAGAAATAACTTTGCGAAATGCTGGAAACACAAAGTAATCTCGCAAAGTTATATCAGAAAAATGCACTGCGTAATTTATCGTAATGTCGCACCATTATAAAATATTTAAATGAAAATTTAAATAATAAATAAGTATACATTCAAATTTGAAGAATGTATAGTTTAGCGAAAAAACAGGCCTATATATGTACATATACGCAATAAAAATCGAATTAATAACCTTAATTATAATAGTACGACTTAAATTACGTACCGCGCACTAATTTCGATATAACTTTACGAAGTAACTTCATGCTTCGAGTATTTTAGAAAATTGTTCTGATATTTGGTTTTTGGGATTGTAACTTTTCGGTACGTTACCCCACTTTTCAAATTTCGAAATTTAAATTTTTTGTAATTAAGTACGTTTTCTTTTTTTATTAATAAAAAATGAAAGACTGTTCGGCTTGACACTAAATTATATTATCAGAAAATGAAAATATAAAGGAGAAAGGGAAAGAGATAGAGATAGAGAAATAGATAAAGGAAGAGAAAGAGTAAAAATTTATTCTTTGTTTTTAAATTTTTTGAACTATTACGCAGGACACAGGATTTATGCGGGATATATCAGAATTCCCATTTGAAATTAGATTTAGGCTAGTGATTTTCAAAATAAAATTTATTAACATTCATAAAACACATACAGAGATGTGTATGACCCTTTTAATATATATTTATATTATATATTTATAGGATATATAATATAAACTTTTCAAACAAACATCTATTGAAGAACATGTTAATATAAATAAATTGGTAAACGGTAAACTGGTCTGTTTTATAGTCATATTAAACTGCGGTAGAAATAAATTTAACTGATTATTGTTCACTATGGATTATCTTATGAAATGCCAAACGTCTGTACGAATATCAATTTACCATAAAATAATATTGTTAATAACATGTTGCAATATACCACTTTCCTAGCGTTTACGTTTATCAAAATTGGTAGTATGCTTTGCGTGTATTTATTTTGGCTTCATTGAGTAGAGAAAGCAATGTGGGATATTTTTGTATGATATCTATGAACTTTTTAGTATTGATATGATCATTGATATTTAATGCGATGAAATTAACAGCAAATTGCAGCAGATCTTTTACGTCATTTTCGTATGCAAAAAATAAAACGTCGAGCGATACGTCACATCGAAAAATATTCTCTTTTTGAAGGAGAAGCTCTTTTATGTATTGTTCGCAAATTATTCCAAGATCACTCACACCGTATCTCTTAGCCATTATAAAAAGCGAAAAGAGTCTGTGAATGTCGGAATATTTTAGGAAAGACGTGTTGCCGTACTGTATAAAAGTTTGAAACGTTATCACGACTTCTAGCGATACGTCGTCTACGTCTATTGTTATGTTTTCTGGTCTGTTATTTTTGAACAAATCTCGAAAGTAGTTGCTCCTTGCGCTAAGCAATTCTGTATTCACCAGAATCTCCCTGTCGTCCACCCTGAACGCGACAAATGTGGAAGAGTTGCAAAGGGGCAAGTTTTTTATGTCTGTTTTATAATTCTGGATTGTATAGTTGTGCAATACCGTGGTATATATAGTGTTGTGCACGATGCATTCGACGGTGTAGACCTTAACGACCACTCGGAGTGTATCACGAGTGACGAATCCTTTCAGTTCTTCCGTGAGAAGGGACTTTGTTACTTCATAACTCAACTGATCGTCGTCATAACGCGAGGGTATAGTGTGATACCTATCTGACACAACTGACTGCAACATAACGTTATACGTCAAACGTTTGTCCGGCGAAGAATGCTTGATGTAGAAAGTAAACTTCTCATCTTTTCTATCGACTTTCATGAAAATGTTAAAGGGTAGCTGCTCGTCGTCTGTGTTCAACTGTAAGACAGTCATTGTCTCGTATATGGTCCAAAAGTCGCGGAGATTCCATACGGACGTGAAAGTTCTCGATGTCACCTCTGTGCGGCAATACGTGTAGTAGGAATAGATATTTTCATTGTCATTTTCACTTTCCGTAGACATCCTCTCTTGTAGCATTTCCATGATCATTCACGCGTTCTACGATATGTGTGCATCGTAATATTGTTCAATAATATATCGTTTAAATTAACTACATGCTGTTTTACACGTCCGTTGTAAAGAAAGCAAAATACGCGTGTACGTACTTCTAGAAGCCACTAGAACAGAGTTTTACGTAAACAAAGTAAAATAAAGTCAATTGCACTTTTTCCGAGGATATTTCTATAAAGATGAAGATATTTTATGTTTTCTAAAAATAATTCTTCAGTGTCATTAATTTTTAATAGACTCTAATTGACTACGCGTTGACCAATATTTTACATTCCTCCTTTGTTTCCCTTTTTTATATTTTTTTCGTACTATATTACGATAACAATCGTTAGCAGCATATTATTTTGCTCGCTGTTAACGTTCTTGAACATAACTTGAACGTTCGGAATAAATAGATAGATATGTATGTGTACATTGCACGTGTCATGTTATGTTTACTTCGAAATTTCATGATTTACCGGTCGTCTCTAAAGCGCTATCTATTATTCCTCTATTTCCGACCACTTTGCAATATTCGTTAATAGTTTCGGTATAATTTATACTAGGGAGTTCTAGATGTACACAACATATTTTGTTTTATACAAATTTAATAACGAGATTTTAATAGCTTTTTCTTTTTTTTTAATTAATCACGGTGCGAACTTAGAGCAATGAAACGTTGAACTTACAGATTGCCTGAGTGACACGTTTCATTTACTTGCTAATTTCAACGTTCGTTGCACCGTTTATCGGGTTCTCGAGTCTGCTTTCATGTATTTGAATGATAGATTTGGTGCTAAAAGGAAAGAAATTTCAATTTTGTAGAAATCGCATACAAGAATACAAAAGAATATGGTAATGCTTACAGATTCAATGTCAGTTGACCTCGCTTCAAACCTCGCGACCGCGAGGTTTTACCGCAATCTTCACCGCACTGAATCTCACCTCTCCGTTTCGCCGTCCAAACGTTTGTCAATGTTGTTCCAAATTGTGTCAGGACATGCCGATTCTCCCCACTATGTTGTAAGCTTTTTCCGCACATTCTACCGTTATCGTCCTCTTCCTTTTGCTAAAGGAGAGTTTTCAAACTTACACAATATAGCTGACTTTTTCAATGAAATCCGATTGGCTACTCGAAATTTAAATTATTGAGTATCGATCTTTTGGCTTTTCGGCAATAGTTTTCGGCATAGTTTTCAGAATTATCAATAACACGTTTTTGTGCGATTTTACTTGTCTATTGTGAATTGTGCAAACTATTATCTATACTTATTATTTTACGCTATATCAATTATTTTTTTTGTTCTTATGACTTTTTGTCTTAAGAATTAAGAATAAAAGTACGTTTCAAAATTCAATGACATGAAAGAAGATAAGAATTAATTATTTATCATGTGTAAATTTCACGTGATTTTGATGCTTTTCCTCCTTATAACATATTTTAGGTGAAGTTCGTAGCTTATCAAGATTAAGAAAAAGTGACTGTCAGATAACAGCTGAGAGACATGCAAGTCTTAATTAAGACATGAGTCTTAGCGCTTAGAGTCTAAGACAAAATCTTAAATATATATAACTTGAGTTATCACAATAGTTTACGGGAATTAGGTTACAACAAGACGCCAATTTAAAATTACATAAGACTGACGGTTTTAAAAATAAAATGTATTAACTCATAAAACACAAAGATGTATGGTTTATTATCGTACAGTGATAAAAGATATGTTTATCGTCAGCATAATCAGTTCATTAGACTTTTTGACAAAACTGAAAAATATCGCAGCTAGAATAAATATTATTACATCTGTCGTAACATGTTACATCTCTTTTATCTGTTCAAAAACTTGTTACAATCTGATAATGTTTTCTATGTAAATGTCGAGCACGCGTATTTAAGAAAAGATAAACTGTGAAAACAATATACGAATAGTTTTCGAATACACCATACGATAAATATCAAAACCAAATTATAAAATTTGTTAATCTACTTATTTGTCTGTTCTTAAGAATATATTTCTTAAAAACACAAATTAATTTATTCTTAAAAATAGAATTTACATAAACAAAGTTAAGATAATCGCATCTTTACCAGAGGTATAAAACAAAACTTGAAAGCTAACGGAGATAGATATGTGATAGATAACAAAAGTGTACGTTCAGTTTCAATTTCACGACGAATTACGATTTTTAATCACCAGACATAAAACCTCATTAAGCTCATCGATGTCTTTAATATTTAACGGAACTTTTATTCGAATTTTTATAAGCATATAAAACATGGCTGTACTAAGTTCAACTGATTGCTGATAAAAAAGAATTTTTTTCCTCTTCCATTCTCTTTTCTTACCACTTCCAAAATCACTCTAAAAAGCATCAGTATATCATTAAATATTACATGTTATGTTATGCTTTATTACTCCAAATTTTACGATTAGATATGACGGTCAAATAAATAGTGTGCTTCGTTAGTTAATGTAATCTGTTTGAGTAAATTATTTACTCGGGGATATTTCCGTTTAATAGATCTGAAATATGAAGATTCTGCATACTCATCGATATTTAACCTTATGAGATCGGTGACAAACGTCAGTAAATCTGTTGAACCATAATTGAGCGCATGAATTAGAATATCGCACGCCTTTTTCGTGTCTAAAGCAGGTGTTTTTAGAAGAAGATATTTTTGTAAATATTCTTCGCAGATATCCTGCAGTCCTTCTATGTCGTACTTCTGAGCCATTTCAATAAGCTCAAACAGCATATAGATATTAGCAGTTTTTATATCGGACGTATCGCCACTTTCTATGAAGGCTATAAATGTTAACATGCCTGACGTTGACTTCTCGTCTAAAGTTATCGATGTATTGTCATTACGAAGTATAAGTTTGAAGTATTGGCTCTTTGCACAAAGTATTTCTTTATTTACGAAATATTTCTTATTTCCCACCTTAAACTCAATTAACGCGTTAGACTCGCTGGGAAGTAAGTCTTTTAGGTCTGAATGATTGTTTAACATCTCAATATGTCTGGTGTTATGCAAAATACGTTCGATGCACTCGAACTTAAAGATCACTTTGAGTATGTTACGGTGAACAAATTCTGTCCTCACGTTCTTGAGGAAAGACTTTTTTATTTCGCACTTCACTTTATCAACGTCATAATAATGGGGTAAAATATAAGTATCCTCTTCTGATAAATATGACTGTAAATATACATGACATAAGAACTTTTGAATAGACGAAGAAGCCTCCACGTAGAAGATCAACTTCTCTTCACTTCTATCACATTCCAAGTGAATCTCAAAAGGTAACCGCCCGTCCATCGGATCGAACTTTAAGTAAGAAATTATTTCGTACATACTCCAAATTTCGTCAATAGCCCACACATAGACGTAAGTTTTCGTCACCAGATTTGTGCGGCAATAAATATGAAGAGAAGAGTTTTCATTTGTACTCTTTGCAGGAGTATCTTCCGTAGAAATTTTCCTTTTATCCGCTTTCTCCGTCTCCATCATTCCTCCAGTATATCCTATAATATATAATTTATATGGTATTATTTTATATTATATCACTTAATTATATGCGATTTTTAAATGTCCAGGGAAATAATATTTTTGTAAAGTACGTCAAATAATAGATAATATATATTGAGAAATAATCTCGCGATTTAATATTCGTTTGGAAATTTTTTTAATATACCGTTACGAAGAGAAAGTAACATGCGTGTACATATTTCTAGAGAAAAGGATGTACATGTATATGTACATATTTTATTTTATATTTATTTATACGTGCCTTTTACGTTTGATCTTATATTCACTTATACGTGCCTTCTACGTTTTATTTTATATTTTACTTATACTTTGTTGTGTTTATTTTGAAATTATCTTATGACATATATGGTAATATAAACCTACCTATTATTCGTTTATTATCGTCAACTTTGAAATATTCGTTAGAAATTTTGTAAACAAGAAATTCGACTGTGTCTATGTACAATTTACATCAGAGATTTCTGGAAACATCTAACGTACCGCTTTATAAAAATTTAATAATGAAATTTTCGATAGATTTCATCGGAATTAAACACTGTGCGAATCTTGCATTTGGAACAATGAGAAGTTGTACTTACAGATTGATTAAATAGCACGGTTCACTTCTCAAATCTTCTAATGTCAAAGTTCGACCATGTATCCGATTCTCGGCTTTATCTCTATTTATCCAAGTGACAAATTCGGTATTAGAAGAGCGTCAAATTGTAACATTATATAAAACGCTTACAGAGTAAACGCTTACAGAATAAATGCTTACAGATTAAGCTGGCCTCGCGTATTAATTTTGTTAGCAGTTTTGGTAGCACCGCACCGATATGATTGAATCGAGCTTCTCTGCTTCGCCGTTTAATCGCTTATGCCAACGTTATTTCAAATTAAACACGACGCTTTGTTAATTCCCCCCACTATTTCAGATTTCGTCGCACATTTTACCATTATTCTCTTCGGAAAGCGCTATTATTACTAATGGCGAGTTTCTATGTTTCTCTGTTTACAGCGCATTGGATGAGTGCAAAACTTCGCGTCCGATTCCAACGGATGTCATCGGGAGATTCACATGGTAGCGTCATTGATTGGTTGACGCGTATGTATCGTGCATCGTTGAAGAAATGACATATTCAGTCGCCAAAGTGTACGTTGTGAAAAAAAGATTTCGAAAGCGAGGGAGAAAAGGCACGGCCCCGCTTCTCTCGTTCGAATTTCGCGGCGCTCGACAGGGGAGCCACTGCGTCGAGCGCGCATGCGCGGCCGTGGTCGTTTCGGCCGGTAGTAGGGAGTCGTACGAGCGGCTGCGAGCTCGGGCGGTGCAGATGCTGCGAAAGTCTCGTCCAGAGTGCGCGTCGCGGGTGAAGCTGTGTCCGGAGCGTACTACGGCGTGCTACGGAACCGTCGCCGCTGCCAGGATCGCGCGCGCGATCCTTCGCGAGAGTTCGTGGGAGTCTCGGTGCCCGGCGCGATGGACGACCGCCCGGCGATACCTGTTGCGCGACTCGATCCGGTCCGGTTCGCGTCGCGTGTCCGCCGGTCCTCCTCCTCCTCCTAAGGAGTCCTCTCCGCCGAGACCGCCGGCTACCGCGAGGATACTGCGGATGATGCATCGTTGCGTTCGCGTTTCCCGTCCCGTTGACGTTTCCCCGTGCTAGACGACGCGAGTTTGTGTGCGCGAGTTCTTGTGCCAGGCGCGCCCGCCAACGCGTCGCCGACGGCCGCCGCGTCGTCCTTCCGCTTCGCGAGTGCCACACAACAGTCGCGCGGCGCGCGAGCCAGCTCTCAGCCGCTGACGATTCATCGAGGGAGCGACGATAGTCTCGGCCAACGGAGCGAGAACAAGGAACACGCGCTCAACGCGACAGCGAGGCTGAGAGCAAGAGCGAGAGAGCGAGAAAGAGAGAAGAAGAGAAAGAGAGAGAGAGAGAGAGAGGGAAACGAAGCGCTATGGGCATCGTGCAGAGCAGCCGCAGCGGCGAGAGCGATGGCGGTGTGCGCGAGGTATTCGTCGGCGGTGTCAAGGCCGGCGTGCCTCATCACTCGTGTCAACCCAGCCTCGGCATGGGCAGCCTGGGCGGACCGCACGCACGCAGCGGTAGCGTACGTAGCGCGCCGAGACAACCGATGCCGGACGCCGCCGAGCTCGAGAGACGTTTCACCAAAGTGCTGGTGAGTAACACGCACACATACACACACACACACACATGCTTTTCCTCTTCTAGCCGTCTCACGACGATCGTAGCAGACGATACGCGCGTCCAGCCGCGCGCTGCGCCGCGCCGCGGGCATGACGGCCTGCGGTGAGTCTCTCTTGTCGTCCGAATCAATCCCGCAGTCGTTCGGCTGAAATGAGGAAACGCGTCGTGCACTCGCGTACCCGAGACGCGGTCGTCTCTCTTTCTCCTTTTCCCCGGCCGGGCATTTCGAATCCGCGCGCCGCGGATCCGCCGGTGGAACGTGTCCTCGCGCGCTCGTGATGTTTCTGATGACGCAATCTGGATTTTCGGCTGAGCTCGAGATTCACCGCGGAGTCTGCCTGCACGCGGGAAAATTTGAGATAGGAATAGATTTATCTCAGCAGCGTCTCAGCGTGAAAAGCGCGTACTCGCGTGTCATTCTCGAGATCGAAATATTCTGTCGGGCGGGCGACGCACGCACGGTTTGTCGTGCTTACGCTCGGCTGCGATTTTTCTTTCGTTCCATTTCGCTCGCACTCGCGACTCTTCGGCGATCACGATATCGCGCTGTGGGTTATTCATCTGATCCGAATATTATGGAGATTTGCATGTCGAACCCAAGCCGAAGTATGATAACGCTCGTAGTGCGCGAGTAATACGTAATAATAATAATAACGCGCAATATACCGGCAATGGCAAATCGCGAATATCCGCGTATCGCACGCTCGATCGCTGACACGATCGAACCGCGTTCAGCGTTGTGAGACGCGAGATTGAAAGATACCTCCGGCATCTTCGATAAAGTCTCAGCCACACGTTCTCGTAAAGGGACCTTTGAACTTGGTCGTGTGTGCATGCGCGCGCGCTGCAACACACGACGGGACGCGCTCTCTCTCTCTCTCTCTCTCTCTCTCAGCTCGGAGCCGCGTCCGCTCTCGCTCGGTGCCTCTCGAAAATTCACGTCACATCCTTCCGCTTCTCGGCCGACGATATTTTTACTCACGAATGAAAATAGCCCCGGGCCCACCCACACGATCGTCGTCGTCGTTGTCGATTGTTGCTTCGACGCTCGAATATTCACGATGACTAATTAACGCGCGCATCCGGCACTCGTTGTGGTCCTTCGTGCGATTCATGATCGGCCGCATCATTGTTATTCCCCCGAGAAATCGGGCTGTTCAAAGACACGCGGCGTCGCTGCTTCGACGCCGATGTTCGGGAATAAATCTATGTAATTATATATATGTAGAGTGAAGTATTGTTTTATTTTTAATTCGGCGGGTTGAAAAAGGGATCCCCTCGAGGGACTGTTCTGTCGCATGTATGCGATAAAGATTCCTTCGGCTGACGGGATTCGAAATTCGAGACTGCCACCGTGCACGTGTACAAGCGCGGTTTTAATTGAATTTCTTCCTGTCTGCTGTCAAAACACGCCTGAGCGGCGTGTCCGATGAACGAGATCGAGATAAGACACCCTCGCATGGTCGGTAATTCTCTTATCGGCCTTCTGATGTTTGCGCCGTACGCAAACGGTAGACAAATATTGACGAACTGTCAGGACTGCCGCGCGGATATCGACCGAACAATTTAATCGGGATGCTAATATCCTCTATGAAATATTACAGTCCTCGTCCAGATGACAATATCGTCGATAAATATCGCCGACACAGTCGAAGTCTCGTAATATTGACAATGTCGTTTTAATCAGGACAATGTAACAATTTGTCTCAGCCCGTGATCCTTGAATACTTAAGAGCGCTATGAGAGAAACTTATATAATACTCGTGGTCGCGAAGCCAAATTCTTCGCAATCCTCAGCGCATAAATTAAAGAACGGGTTATTTCCGGAAGTAAAAATAAATTAAGCAAATTTTAGTTTCCGGTAGTAAATAAAACACGTAGAGACGAAACGCTTGATCCGCACGAATTGAATATTTTTAATAGAGTTCATAAATTATACACTTATATTTTATGTAAATAAAACACGAGGTCTCACGAATGTTCGGACGTTGTAACTAAAACTTCGACGCGAGAAAACGTTTTTCTTCTACATCGAAAAGCTCATTACTCCTATTGATGGACAGGCCGCGACAGGCATGCAATTAACAAATCGCCGTGTAATTATGGTGCAAGAAATATTTAAAAAATGTCGCAGGCCAAGAGACCACGGGGCATATAATCACTTCTCGATCGAGCAACGTTGCCAAATATCCTTCTCTCCACGAGGCTCGTTCTTCCCGTCGAAAAAACGCGATCAACTCGGCGTTGTCTCCTCGCGGCGCGAGAGAGCGGCGGATAATTTAAAATAATAAAAAAAAAATCGCGACACGTCGTTTCGGCCGAGAGTGGCAGGCAGGCAGGCACGCTGGCTGGCAGGCGGATAAGGCGGCGGTTACAATAACAAGATACCGGATCGCGTGTGAACTTTACGTTCAATTTGGACACGCGGCAGCGACTGCGGCCGCCGCTTGAGTGAGAGCTGCATCAGTCCGCGTTTTCGTCCTGCCGTGGCGCGGCGTGTGCGCGGCGACGTGAGAGGGCACGATCGTATTTATCTTCACCGCCCCGAGGTGTAACGTAAGTAACAAGCTGATCGGTATCAACACGTGTGGCCTGTAACTTATAGCGGCTAATATCTGAACTCGAGTGAACTCGGGTCGCGCGCGCCCAGTGGTTGTCCGTGACTCGAGAGAAAGAGAGAGAGAGAGAGAGAGAGAGAGAGTGTGAGTGAGTGAGTGAGTGAGTTTGTCGTTGCGTAGTGTCGCGTCGCCTGCACAAAGGGACTCCTCTCACGATCGCGTACATTCGGCGCTATGAACGCGCGCGGCTTTCACCGGCTTCAACCGCGTTAGGTACAGTTACAGGCGACCTTCGCGGCGCGAAGTTTAGAATCAGACCGCGATCGCATCGCTCGTCGGAGGCTCGTCAGAATGAGCCGTCTCGAGCTGCGAATCTGCAAAATCTGCGCTGACATGCAGAGGGAAACGTGTCCGGTACTCCGATGGCTGTAATTACGCGATGAGATGTCAGGTTGGCCGAAAAGTTCTTCTCCCTGCGTGAGGCATCTGCTGCTGTTCCTCCGCCGAAACATCGAGCGAAACAGTATTTCAAGTGGAAATACGCGGACAAAGAATAAGTGTTGTCAGCAATTTGTTGTCAGTACTGAGAGAGATGCATCATACTATTATAGCGCATAAATTCAATATCAATTAAATATTCAATTCGTACAAATCAAGCCTCTCGGCTCTTCGTTTTTTATTCATTAGTCGGAAACTAAAATTTGCTTAATTTATTTTTACTTGCGAAAATAATTTTTTATTCATGCGCTATATGATATATAATATTATATATTTTAAGAACAACGAGTGTCTGTCGTCTCGTGCGTAACAAAAGTATGAACGCGATAATTAAGCAACACGTCGCACTACGCAAAGCCCCAATTACTCGGTGCTTCTAAAGTCTCTCGGGTCACACGTGCGCGCTATTCGAAATTGAATAATAACGCCGGATTATCAAATAAATCGCGTCTCTCTCTCTCTCTCTCTCTCTCTCTCCCGCTTGCCGCATATCTCCTTTTCTCTAGTAGAACGAAATGTCGAGAGGTCGAAAGCTAGAGAATCCGTGCACCCCGGGAGAAGATAGAGAGAAAGGAGGAAGAGAGAGAGAGAGAGAGAGAGAGAGAGAGAGAGAGACACGGAGGAGATGGAGGAGGACACACGGCACCGCCTACGAACAGCGGCTCTCACCAAATAAGATTCGATTGTGCATCGTACAGCCATCGTTCGCGGCGAGCGACGAACATATCGTAAACAACGGGTCCCCTTTTCAGCTCGCGTTAACTCGCCTTCATTCGATTTCCTCTGCCTTCCCCTCGTCCCGGCTCGTCTCTTCGCTTCTCTCCTCTTCTCTGTCTCTCCTTTCCTTTCCCTCCGCTGTGCTTCTCCTGGCCACCCGCTCTTGACCTCCGTGACTCTCCACGTCTTGCAGCCGCCGATCCGATGCTGCACGTACACAGCGTACGTATAGTTCCCGGTATTTCGGCGGGCTGAACGTGAGCCTTTGTGCGAGTAGGGGCACACGTCCGCTACCGGTGTCTGTTCGAGGCGGTATCCTTTCCGCGTGGCGGTATCCTCGGAAGCACGACGATTTACGTCGGTCGAGTCGATTTATGATACCACGGGAGCAAGAAGGGAGCACGGTGAAGTCGCGAAGATCGTCCCGGGAGAGACGCGAGAAGATCTCTTCTTTTTGGCCGAACTAGCTTGCGCCTTCGGAATAAATTAAATATACAGCTTTTAAATGCCCTGACTTGAAAGATCTCGAAGGAAATGCATTATTCAGCAAAGTATCCCGGAGCAAAATTGCGTTTGAGGAGACTCTTATCTGTGATCTGATCTTGCTCGGAGACCTTTCGTCCGAGGCATTTTCTTTTCCCAATAATGCATCTCTGCCGAGATATTTTAGGCGAACATTTAACACGAGTGTCGGCCTGTACGATCTAGCGTCGAAGAAGAGACAAATGAAGTTCCAGTTCGAAGTGCTAGTTCAGTGCCGAAACGGAACGGGCGCGGGCCCAAGGACGAGAAGGGAAAAAAGACCCGCGAGTCGAAGCGATGTCGAAGTAGGAATTTTTATCGGTACGCCGCGGCGGCTTACCGTTAAGTTACGCGAGTCGCTCGCTCGTTCGCTCGCACGCATATTTATCTTCGCACCTGACTTCGCTGCCGAGTCGTTACGCCTCGTAAGAGGCGTGACGCAAGCGGCACGTACAAACGACTCATTTGCAGCTAACGCATCATCAGTCAGTCACATGTGCGAGACACAATTTCGCAAATAAGCCGTTTCGATAGCGAAAACCATGACGCAGCACGGTCGCCGCGTGAGCGACTTGCGTGCCGCCCGCATGCTGCACTTTGTCTCGCAGCCGTGCTCTGCGTGTGTAAGCAGGCCGCCGCTTTGACTGGTGCCGTGTTTACCTCGCGGATTCCATAG